TAAAGCGCTCTTTTCAAAGAGACTTCACACCCTATTAAGACCTTTGTGTCAACTGACAGCCGCCTGCAGAAAGGTAGGGGAAGGAAGATCAGATCGCATCGTCTAAACACGTCTTAAGCAATCTTCGCGAAATTCGGGCTTCGTGTATACACGTCTTAAGCATTTTTCGTGCGATTTGAAATTCGTGTAAAGATGTCTTAAGCATTTTTAAAGAAATTCCAAAAACGTTTAAACACGTCTTAAGCAGTTAAAGGGTTAATGAGAATTTGAAATTAATTAGCAAATATGCATAATTTTGGATATCTATTCCATATTGAATTGGCATATTAGTTGATGAGAAATTGAATACAGTCAGTTAATAAGGTTATCAATTATTCAAGCCAGCTATTTCCTCTTCCCTCCCCGAGAGTCTTAAATGAATAAAAGTCCCAATGTAAGAAATGGAGCAAATACAGTCTGTCATTTAAATGATATAATGTAACGAATTTTGTATATATGGATACTTTTCATGAAATTTTATGTGAAATTGTTGTATTTTTCTGTATAATGTAACATGAAAAACTTGAGAGAAATGATGCTGTACGGAAAAAATAAGAATACAGGAACAAGTCTATAACATTTAGTAAATGGCTATCTCGCTAATTTGGCGATATATCGTCAAATTGGCAACGGTTTTGACAAGTAATTTTTTATCACCAAACTTGAAGGGAAATCGCTAAAAAAGTCCATAACAATAGCTGGTTACAATTCTAACACTTGTAAATCTGAACATACATCTTCCCAACCCTCTATGCACATATATTGGAAAGACTTCTTGGCAAATGTACAAGACGCAGTTTATTATAGTTGCAAACGCACGTGGATCAGATTCCGAAGCTAAAGCCTCTCATCTCTCTGCTCCTGTGAGAACAGGCGCACATATATCCTCCAAATTCTGCCTGAAAGCTAGAGGCTGTTTCATGGCATTTTTTTGGGACCGCTAATAGAAACAAGGGAAATACTTACCCTGCAGTATTTCACTAAAGGCATACGGAATCCTGAGAATGGTGGATGTCAAGGATCTAAAAAGCGCTTTATATGCCATGAAATTCGATTCAACCCAGCATCTTGAGTTGCTCATGTCCAGGACCCAGTGAGTCAACTAACTGCTCATCTAGACGATTTAATCAAACCATGTAAGGATTATGTTAATTTTATTAACAGTTACATTTTGAGTTAAACTTCCTTTCCTATCGATTCTTAATTTCAACTTACCACTTCGGGCCAGAACGTAGTTTTAGAATCACGTAAGAAATGGAACCTGCAATGTGTTAGATAAAAAGTAGAATCTGCTTTGCAACAACAGCTAGGTCATTGAAATTTAGTATGCAGAGGAACGTTTATCACAGTAATATTATATTGTTGCGTGCGTACGGGTTCGTAGTAGATTGAATGCACATGGGTCCAGTTATAGATTGATAAAATTTATTTTATCAAATGCAACATTTTTGAATTCAGGAACTTTCCACAAAAGTTCTAAAAATCTTCATAGTAGCACAGAGTACAGTCAGTAGTGACTCTTCAGACTACTATGAGCTTTAAACAACACATTTCAAAGTGCTGCTAAAGAGCAAACCGCAAGCAGCTGCACCGCAAAATCCATAGTTAATTTACTGGAAAAAATGAAGCAAGAAATGTGTATCAAGGCCATACCATTCACTCATATCTCTACTATATCTCCTGATGTATCATTTACAGATTTTTGAACTTTTGAACTTTGAAAAAGTGAATTGTCCAGACATTGACCTACAACCCTCAAACTTTGGAAAGCTGTTCAAGAACAGGAGTGTTCCCCAGAGGGGGGGGGATAAAATATCTCTTTCGCTACTAAAAAAAGCTTTATTGTCCTGGAAATTATGGTGTCGAAAGATGGTGAAGGATACGGGTTATCAAATGGAACATTTGAAACACAAAAGTTTAAAGTAAAATATTTTTGTTACAACGCATTACTATGAAACCTGTCATCATCGGCAGTAAGACTATTGAAAAACATTAATAAAAACTTAGAAAGGTACTTCAGAAACTGAAAGAAGCTAATCTAAATTTGAGTAATCAGTTAATATTTGTTTTTAGTTTACTTTTACTTCAATATAATGCACATTAATAAGCTTATCCACACAAATACCATATATGCTAATTATTAATTTTTTTCATGGCATTTAAAAGTACTTTATAAATAAGAGCTTTCCTTCACTACTCAGGATTTTCTCTATATAAAAGTACAAGAAAATTAAATTAGGTGCACATTTAAAAGTAATTTAGAATTAAATGCTAATACTAGAATTGAATTATAAGTAATTCAGTAATCTAAACCATGAATTATAAGTTGAATTAAAGTCAGTTTAGAGCTCCTCTGAAATGGTGTCACCAAGTTCTTAAAATTTCGAGATTGGCGGCTATGAAATTCTTATTTCTTGCAAGAAGGCTGCTCATTCTGAAAGATTGTGTTCTGGATTTGGAATTATGCACAGCAACTGAGAAATCAGTTAGGATTTAGAAAGTTGCAATTTTTTTTTTTTTTTTTTTTTTTTTTTCTTTTAAGCATTAAATGCAAGTAGCAGTTATAATGAAATAAGCTATTTTAGAAAAGTTACTGCAGATTGCAGATATAAATAACATTCCTTACTTTGATTGTTTATTGTATTTATATAAAATATATAACTAGAAGAATTTTTTGATGTTGTTATTGTTTGTGAGTGTATATGCGCATGTAAAATCAGGGCCGTTCCTATCGGGGGTGCAGCACGTAAAAGTATGAGGCGACAAATGTCAGGTGTGCCGGATTCTTGCGATGCCACGCCTAAATATTTTTAATTCATTCAATTCATTGTATTTGCTTGTCATATGTAAGTATGTTTTATACAATTTGTCGCGTGCAAGTACTTAGTAAGTACGAAGTAAAAATTTTATTAATCATTAAGAAGCTTATTTTTTAATTTGGGGCAGCAATCTTAGGAAAGTACATGGGCAGCCAGTGGCATAGTAATGGCCTTGTGTAAATTTATATTGAAATGATTAAAGTGACTTTGCAAATTACTAATGCCAAAAATTTTTAAGATATTGCATTTTATGCTACTAATTAATAAAATTATTTACAATTTATGTTATTTTTAATTATTAATTGTTATATTAATTAACAAATATATATATTGTAATTCCTAATATTATATAGTTAGAGGTTTAATTCATTTGAAAACAATTCAATAAGTTAATGTAGAATGTGGAAAAAATAAAAAAATATCAGATTCAAGTAAAAGAAATTCTGATTTAAATTAAAAACCCATAAAAAAATCATTTTTTTTTGATTTTTTTTTTTTTTTTTTTTTTTTTTTTTTTAAATATTCTGCAGTGTAGTATCACCAGTGACTCAGCTTAATGTCTTTCACATTATTGTAATTTCTGCCAACTGTTAGCCTTCCTCTGTTTTTGCTGTGTTGGCAATTTAGTCTGGTGAAATTATATTGAGCAAATGTTATTTCTGTTTATTTAAACTGTGTAAATATCATATCATTCTTTTTCCTGAAATAGCAATCTTTTGGGTTTCTTGAGTTATTTAAAAAGTTTTTTTTTTTGGAGTTAGAATCTAGAAATTTACATTTTCATGATATAAATTAATGAAATTGCTTCTCTGTTTCAAGTCATTTCTGTCATTTACATCACATCTACTTCAATTGCTTTTCTGTTTTAGATCTTTGAAAAGTTTCACAGGAATGTTTTATTTTCATAAAATGAGTAATATACTTATAAGTTTTATCTTATTCCAATTGATGTGTCTTAAATAATTTTTATAAGAACTAGGTGTATTCTGGAAGTTCTTGCTTTATCTATACTGAATAAAAGGAAGTAAAAGTATTTGGAAACCATTTACTGTAAATACCTAGTTTAATCTTTGTTTTATAGTTCATTTGGATAAATAATTTGTAAATGCTGCATTTATTTTTTATTGTTTTCTGAAATTCTAAAATCAGTTTATTATATATGAGAGAGTTTGCTGTACCAAGATGTTTTAAGCCTCAAAGTGTCTCAAATATCTAAAATGAAGTATGTGAAACTGCAATTTAACTATGATGTTTCCGTAATTAAAGTGAAAAAACAAGTATCACATTAAGGTGGGCAAATGGATATCAAATATTTTTTCTATCAAAAGGTCTTCAAATTTGATAGCTCTAAAGACTATATATTTTCCTGATGAAAGGTAAAGCTTAAAAAATTCTGTAATTAATAATGAGAAATAAAAGCTGTAATAATTTTCTCTTGTATTATAATAACAGTGTACATCATAAAAATGGAGCTTCATGCTATGAGTAGGCTGATCTATCTATACTTCTATCTATGAAGATATTATGTTGACCAGAATATAAATGCTGTTACTGTTACTGTGAATTCATCAAACTATATTAGCCGAAATTTGGTTGTTTTGGAAAAGCCAATAACCATGAAACACTAGATCTTAAAATAATTCGAAACATTTAACAAATTAGTGACAGTGGCACAGAGAATTTTTTAAACTTTACTAAAGATTGGATTTCCAAATTTTTGTCTCTTTTGAAATAGAAAAAGTTTATTTTCAGAATACCAAAACATTTTATAAAGTAAAGAATGCAGTAAAATTGAGTGAGAAACAGTCTACCTAAATTGTTTTGTGTTTAATTTTTGCATTTGTATGTTCAGGATGATACATGTACAGAAATAAAACAATATGTAGAAGTCTTGCTTCATTCGTATTTTATATCATAATACTATAAAATATAACATTCCATGTAATTCTTAAATTATCTATTATTTCTCTATATTCTATATCTAACCTAGAAATAAGCATTTTTCTTTTTACATAACTTTAAATTTTAATTGCTAGCTTTAAATTTTAGCATTAGTTAAAGGTTTTAAATATTTAAATTTGTGTGTGTTATTATATACTAAAGTATTTATTCCACAAACCTTTCTTTGATTTTCATGTATAGAAGCTAAAAATTCTGTAGAACAACATGAAAATCAAGCTCAAACTGAAGATCACATTTCTGATATGTACGAGGTAGGTTTATTAAACTTTCTTGCAACAAGTTTATTTGATCAAGACATTGATATGTATAGTGGGGGGGGGGCAGAAGAACAGTCATATATCACCAATTCTACTGGGCTGCTGATTGACAAAATTCAAATTAAGGTTTTCATGCCTCAAAAGTATGACTGTGACTTATATATTAGATTTATATATAGCAACATTCTAAGACTCGTATTTTGGCACAAATTTGCACTGTTTCTGAAATGGTGTACTGATTTTGTTTTTTTATATTTCAATTCTACTCTTCAAATTGTCAAGTTTTATAAAAATTAATGTTATCAGAATACCTAGTTTTATAAAAATCACAGTGGCAGTTTTTTTTTTTTTTCCAATTAGCAGTTAAAATGTTGACCCCATAATATTTAATAATATCAACTTTTAAGCTAAACTTATTTAGTTTCTTTTTTTGTAACTCAAAATTTAGTTTTAATCCAAATAAATTCATATATTTTTTCTGACTTCTTTTAAAACTTTGTATTTTTCAATATTTTTTTTAATTATTTGAAAAAAAAATATTTCAGTTGTAACCTATTAAAGTTTTTCTGTTGAATTCAGATGAATTTCATTGTGTATCTTAAAAAAAAAATAGAGTTTTTTTTTTTTTTAAAATTCAAAATTCCCCCAAAGTATATGGAAACTTGTATTTGTTTTGAAATTTGGGACATTTGTTATAAGCAATAATAGCACTAAATGTGGTATGTGCACTTTATTACTATCTTCAATGAATTACAAGTTATTTTGAATCTTAAATTTCCAAATACACTTACGCTGAAGATTATTCATGTTGAATTTCATTATTTTCATTTTTATTAATAGTGCCTAACAAAAATTTATTAATAATATATGAAAAGTTAATTTTTAAATTTATAAAGAATGGTAATTAAACATTTAAAGATTTTTTTTTCTTTCATAAGAGTTAATTTTTACCTTTGACATTTTGTTATCTGCTATTTTACATAATTTCATTTTATACGCAATGAAATTTCTTTTGCAGATTTCAAAATTGTGTATCATGTATACGTTGAATACTTCTGAGTACATCAAATAATATGCCAAAAATATTATTAAAAAAAATGCTTTCATCTACTACAAAAATATTTTAACAGTGGCAAGATTGGTAAAAATATCTTTCAGGGCCAGCAAGGCCCTACTTCAAGAGGCCTATCTTCAAAATGGCCACTACACAAAACCAAAACAACAAGTCAAAGAATTCCACAGTTCATGTACACATCGATCTGTTTTCACTTATAGTGCTGCACTCTTGGTGGCATTTGCATGAACCTTTCTTGCTTTCTTTCTATGCGTTCAGTGTCTTTTTGCCGAGTGAGACCAAAAATAAACTTTCAGTTTTGTTCACTGAAAAATCTGACTTCTCACCTTGCTTGTTTTTGCATAAAACTATTTTTAATTGTAGAAAAATTTAAAAAAAATTTTTTTAACTGTATTTGGTGGTTTATGTTTTTCTATATCTTCCAATTTTTAATATAGATAGTTTGAGTTTTTATGTATTTTTGCCTTGTCGCGAAGTGAAAGCTGAATTAATTGAATGAGAAATATGTCTCTAATGAAGTTCAAGGAAATAAGTTTAAATGAAAAGAAAAAAAAAAAAATGCATATAATTTAATATTCTGTACAAGGAAATCATGTGGTGTACACATCAGATTTGTTTAATTATTATTTCTGTTACATTTTCTGTTATATTAGAATATATTAAAATTCTCAGAGTAAAATAATTTCTAAAAATTTAAAACATTTTTCTTCTCTGTGGGTGTATTGCTGATTTTACGTCAGTCAAAGTTTTAACACCTATACTGCCACTCTTTCTATCAGCTCTACTGAGAAGTACTAATTACTAATGAATTAATATTAATGATACTAATGAATGACAGTCTAACTAAAGAAAGAGAGTACTCGCACTGTAGCCATCCTGTTCTTCCTAACTGGTATTCCATGAGTTTTTGGTTTTCTTAGTTTAGAAATTACATAGAAATTATTTTTTCTGGTTATTTAAATATGGCAAAGGACATGGAGAGTCTCTCCCTAACGGGAGGAATTTTTTCATAGAAGAATCTAAGGCAGAATCATATTCATAGAAGAATCTATTCTTATCTAAAGAAAAGTGGCTCGTATTCAAATTGCATAAGGAGAAAGTCACAAAAACCATGCAGCCAGCACATCTCCTGAGTTGGACACTGGGAGAAAATATCAGTATTCAGCGGTCTTTCGTAGCTTGGCCATTGATAGAACTGCTGAAATTAAGAGCCAAATTATTAGGTTCTAATTTACTATCTGACTTCCACATATTTAAACAATTATTATATTATTAGGCACAAACAGCACAACATTGTTAACATATTAGTTTTTAAACTACCAAGCCATAGTACAAATGAATGTTCAGCTTTTGCTATTATTATATTCACTTGGTATTTTTGAAATCTAAGCGTAAACGATTATCTGTCTTCATTATTCATTCTGGGAAGATTAAACACGTGCTAAAGACATGAGATTTATCTTACAAGGTGAATTGAGAAAGCAATGCTGCAATTGTAAATGTTTGGCTGATTAGCTTAAACAGCTGAGAATTAAGCAGGCATTACATAAATTTAAATAGAGATACACCTGCAGTGTAATTTGGAACTTCATGATATGCAAAAAGTAGATAGGGTATGCACTTGTCCCAATTAACAGGATCTGTGCGAATTTCATAATGTAATATTTGTTTAAATACACGATTCCATTTTTCCACTGAGCCGTTTGACACAGGATACCCAGGTGTCGAAAAACGAGGATGACTTCCTAACCTTTTTTCGAATTCTTGAGTTAATTGTGAGGTAAAATTAGTGCCTTGATCACTGCAAATAATTTCTGGAGTACTGGCTCTCATTAAAATGTCTAAAAGAGCATCACAAGTAGCTTTAGGGGGAAGACTTTTTAAAGGTATGACCTCCGGCCATTTTGAATGATTATCTATCAAACATAAGCAATATTTATGTTTGCTTCATGAAGGCATTGTAATTTCGCCAATAATATCTATATTTACTGTATGAAAGGGATATGGTGCGCAAACAATAGGAGTAATCGGAATTTTATCAGATTGTCTTTCTGGACATTTTAATTGACATTTTTCGCTTGTTCTACATCTTTGGATATGTTTGGCCAATAAAATGAGAGTTTAATTCCTTCTTTAGTTTTCCACATGCCTAAATGATTTCCAAATATGGAATCATGAGCTAATTGAAGGACTTTATTCCCCCCCTTCCCGGTAAGATTGTGCTAAACAAAGTGAAGCAGACTCTGAAAACTGAACCAGCAAATGAGTTTACAAGCTTAAACACTGTATACTTTACAAAACAATACTTAATAATTAATACACTTATTCACATTTAAATTGTCTCACATTGAAATAAACAAATAAGTACTTGAATGACTTATATAAACACTTTTACACGTGTAGTACCAATACTTGCCTAATAGCTCATTATATATTTTTCCTCAACCAAATAAATTCAAAATATGTGACGTGTATACATGACATAATAACATACTTTGGAATAAGTGCAATAAACAGTCATCTCACAACAGATGAAGAGACGTCTTGATACAACACCGGAGTTCTGTAATTTTAATCTTACATTATTAAGTTGGAAACCTGTTCTATTGCATGATAATGGATCTTCCCTCCGGCCAGTAATGACTTCCCAGAGTCGCTGAGTCCTGAAAATAAGTATGTGTACTTAGTCATCCCACATGTTCTCCAGATTTGTTTTCTTATTATTCTTTTTTCTTTACAAAAACTAAAGTATCATTTCAAAGGAAAGTTTTATTCTGACATTGAAGAGATAAAAAGAATGTGACATTCTACTCTTAGAGCCATGTCATAACAAGGCTTCTCTTTAATTACGTGTCATATTTGTATAACAACAGAAAGTTGCATCAAAGTAAACTCTGCAGCATTTTATATTTTTTAATTGCTATAGTGCAAATATACATTAAGACTTTGACTACTTGAATTTAACTTAGTCAAAAATTTTTGATGGTATGATTGTTGGAACCAGAAATTCAAAAGGTAAGTCAAGGTAAATATTGAAACATACTATTTGAAATTGAAGCTGGTTCAAAGCTGAATTTTTAAAATTTGTTTTTTGAGGGGTGTGTTTCTTCAATTTGGTTTGAGCCATAGCATGTAGCACTTTGATAAAATTTGGCTACCCTTGTTTTATAACATACACATAGTATGTTTTCTAATCACTAAAAATAATTTTTCAGAAAGTGTCATTTGCATCGGTATCCACAGAAAATTTTCAGGAGAGAAATAATTACATCAGTAAATTTTTATTTAACTTTTTATTGGGGGTTTCCAAGTAGATTGTAATGGAAGGGCGAGAATTAAATTCCTTTTGAAAATTCTTTATTACTTTTTTAATAGTTAACAAATTTTCATGAAACAAAAAACATTTTGTTCCTTACAATGATAGATCTCTTTGTAGTTTCTGCACACTTTGAGTGAACTCTTAGTGCATATTTTCTTCCATCCCGGATACTGAGGGGCAATTGTATCTTCTTAATATCTGTTACTTATAATCTTTGTGCATTAGCTTTGAGAGGCAATTCCATACGGTCTTTGCATCTAACAATTCATAAGGCCCTTTCACACTTCACCATCATCTTTGTGCTTCTACCAAGGACCACATATTTCGTACAAAAATGAAATTGAACTCACTCATGCAAGGTTAGAACTTGTGTTATGGTGTGTTATGGTCTGCCTGCAGTGATATAAAGGAGATGTCATTTAATAAACATCTACCGTTGTAATAAATAAAATGTTTTCTTTTCCACAAAAACTCATTAACTATTTAAAAAGTTATAAACAATTTTCAATTAGACTTTAATTATTTCTTATCCTGTAGAATACAGTATTGCAGTAATAAAAAATGCATGTATTATGCATATTTTTGTACACATTAATACAA